AAGCATGGCAACCAGGGCAAACTCTCGACAAATTCTGACCTTGCTGCTTGCGGCGGTGTGGTCTTCCCATGCGGACATGTACTTGAACAATCCACGTGGATCGAACAACAAGTTGCGAGAGCAGAGCAACAACGTCCAGAACGCCAACCGGCTGTTCGACTCTCAGAACAATGCAGCTTCAGGTTATCAGATTGGCGACGACTGCAAGCCTGCATGCAAAGACGAGGACAACAACTACGACGTCACCGTTGAAGGTGCAACCCTGGGGACCATGAAGTACTACCAGGGGTCAGAGTTGTACATCGAGTGGGTGAATCAGCATGGTTGTGGCGTGGGGCACCCGAACCTTCACTGCCAGATCGTCCTGCAGTACATGACTGACAAGGAGAACCCCAACTTGCGAGACGGCACGGACCAGGACAGCGCGGGTGGAGATGACAACGATCCCACCGAAGAAGAGACGGCCGAGGTTGCGCGAGGATATCACGAGACGCTGGATTTCTACGAGGCCTGCATCACAAGGGAACGGAACAAGGGCCTCTACACGGCAGATCAGCAGATCGAAGAGAATGGTGGGGCGACCTCCACGCGCCAGAACCCAAACGGAAACGGAAGGCGTCGTGGAAACACCCGGCATGGACTGGAGTGTCCTGAGGAGAGGGACTACTACCCCTACTGGCACCCGACTCCGTGGCACGACATTGCCATTTTGACCGACGAGCCGCAGAGCCGTTGCGAGTACTACAGAGCCGAGTCCCAGAACGTGATGCCAAAGGGTCTTTGCTCCGACCCGCTGTACAACCAGCCCGACTCCTGCACTGGCAATGGTGGAGAGTGGACGGAGGAGCCGGCCTGGGACGAACCACCCCCCGAGTGTGTCGGAAGTATCTCCAGCCGCGACAACCACAACGGCAATGTTCGCAACGGACATTCTCATTACTATGTGTGGAAGATCCCCGAGTATGTGAAGGGGCGAGTTGTGTTGCGAATCCGCTACAACATCAGCACCGGAGATTTTGGCCTGGGATCTCTGGCGAACCCAAAGGAGGAAGGCGCCGAACTGACTGGCATCAAAGCTGACGAGTTCTTCATGGACAGCAAGTTCAACGACCCGAACCCAGGCAACCGCCGCCGCACGACTTTCCAAGGCCGACCAGCGGTACCTCTGCCTCTGGCGCAAGATCCGGTTGCAGATTGGCTTGGGCTTGGGGAGACGGGGGCAGATCTGAGCCGCTTGCTGCAGATTCAGGTGAACACGAACCAGTTTGGCCGGACGTTCGAAGATCGCACGCACACGTTCATGGTCATGGAGAGGCCCGCAGACGTGCCCACGTCTGCTAGAATTGTGAACTACAATGTTCGTGGCCGCCGCGGAAACATCGTGCAGGTCTACCCCTCGGTGGAGTACGACTTCGTGCCTCCCGAGCTGGAGGTCGAGCAGGGGACCCTTCTGCACTTCCAGTGGACAGGATCGGATGCCAACAACAACGGAAACGCAGGCAACGGCCGAGCTGGAACAGACCGCTCCAACTTGGTACAGGTGCAGTCACGCTCAGAAACGATCCCCCTGCCACTCGAGAAGCACACACTGTTCTTCGACGCCGCCGCGAACCCAGGCGACGAGGAGGGCAGGAAGCTCGTGGACAAGTTCGCGTTCCTGAACCAGGACGAGATCGTCACCTGTGATCCGGAGACGAACAACCAGAACTCCGAGACGAACTGCAAGCAGCTCAACGGCGCGTCGGCCTACTTCGATGGTGGCCTTGTGGAAATGAAGACGATCGGCACCCATCACATCGCCAGCACTCGGAACAACGATTTCACCAACCGGTCGCACAAGGCAAGCATCAAAGTGACGGGAGTCATCCTGGAGCTTTACGAGAACATCGCCTTGGGTGTGGCTGCCTTCTGCGGACTCGTCCTCATCATCTACGTTGCCTGTGCTGTTCATGCTGTGAGGAAGCCGGGCAGCTGGCTTTTCTCACGGCGCTACCGACCTCGGGTGTTGAACTGGGTGATAGGCAAGGATCGCATGGCGCGGCTCGTAGAGGCACGGCGCCAGATTGTCGCCCAGCAGAGGAAGGAGTGGGCCAAGAAGGCCAATGCCCACGCGGTCGATGAGGAGGGGGCCGAGGGGCAGACAGCCGAAGTGGCTTTGCCAGAGGAGTCCATGACGTGGTTTCAGAGCTTCAAGCGCTGCTTCCGCAAGTGTGGCATCGGCGAGCAGCAGCTCACCACGCTCATGTATGCAGTGCTGAATATCCTGGTCTTCCTCATTGGCTTTCTCTCGAACATGAAGGGGGGCTTCCACGAGTCTTGGGCCTATCCCATTGCCAAAGGGGGTGGCTACAGCATGGACCTGAACTTCTCCATGCTTGTCCTGCCCACGCTGAAAAGCTTGCAGACGACCATGAGGCGCGTGAGCTCTTCGCGCGAGTGGGTGCCGATTGACGACCCCATCAACTTCCACATCGTGATCGCCAGCTTCACAATGCTCAGTGCCGCTATCCACATTGCCGGTCACTGCTTCCACATGTGGCTCATCAAGACTTCTCCCGTCATGCAGCTGGACCCTCTGCATCTCTGGAAGCTCACAGCCGAGGAGCAAGCCAGTGGCATGACCTTGCTGCAGCAACTCCTGAACATCCAAATCCGCTGCGCCGCGCTCACTGGTGTGATCCTCACCTTCATGATGCTCGCCATCCTGCTGACGGCACTATCCTGCTCGCGGCGCGGCACGAACTGCCTCACTCGCCGCTGCTTCGGATACAATCTGTTTTGGCGTGTCCACATGTCCTGGAAGCTGATCTACGTCCTGCTGCTCTTGCATGCGCCTGCTCGACTTTGGATCTGGTTCTTCTTTCCGGCCCTCTTCGTGCTCGTGGACCGTCTCTTGCTTGCGAACCACCAGGCCATGTACCTGACGCTGCGGAGCGTGAAGCTGCTGCCACGAGATGTGATCGGCCTGACCTTCGAGGTTCCCCAAGGCTTCGCATACCAGGCCGGTCAGTACATCCTGCTGGGATGGAAGGGTGAGTGGCATCCTTTCACTTTGACATCAGCGCCGGAGGAGAATTGCATCAGCGTCCACATTCGCTCGCCCAACACTCTCGACTGGTGCTCCGCCCTTCGCAAGCGCCTTACTGAGGAAGCGCCGGCCCAGGCCCGAGGGGAGGCGAAAGCAGAAAAGCCACCAAGGGCGCCGCTTCTGATCGAGTACAACAAGTGCACTTTGCCCAACAGCCACATCGTCTACAATGTGCCCAAAGTCGCCGGCAAGGAGGGCAAGGAGCTCCCTGTCAAAGAGGACGAAGGTCCTCGCCTGCTCGGGCGAAACACCTCGGACAAGATGGGCCCAGCGGTAGCTCGCTCAGGCGAGACGCTGGTGAGCAGCCCGCCAAGCGGTAGCCTTCCTCAGGAGTCTGTGGTGTTGCAGGTCACGGGGCCTTTCGGCGCGCCGGCGCAGAAGGTTTGGGGTTTCGACACCCTGATGGTGGTGGGCGCAGGTATTGGTGTCACACCCTTTGCTTCCATCTTGCGGTCCGTGCAGCTCCGCTCCAAGCAGAGAGAGACGATCATGACCGCTGCCAGGCCATCTTCTTGGCGGAGCGCCATGGGCAACCAGGGCCAGGACGATCCAAGGGCAGGTCTCCAGAGGCTCGTGGAAGATCTCGTGGTTGTGCCGAAGAAGATCTACTTCTACTGGATCTGCCGTGGCCAAGAGGAGTTCGACTGGTTTTGCGACCTCCTGGCGGCCGCTGCCGATGGTCCCGCCGCCGGCATCGTCGACATCACCCTCTTCCTCACCGGTGAGATCGAGCTGGGCCAGGTGAAGAAGCTCCCTTGTGCGTCCGGGCAGTTCTTTGGACGACCCAACTGGGGACGGATCTTCAAGCAGAATCGCGAGAAGCATCAGGGCGAGCACATCGGCGTCTTCCTCTGCGGTTCTCCGATCATTGGCGAGGAACTGTCCCGGCAGAGCATCAAGAATTCCGACCTCATTGGCACGCCCGGTGGCACCCGCTTCTCCTTCTTCAAGGAGCACTTCTAAGCCTGAGCATGCGACAGATTCAGTTCCCTGCCACGGCTGCCGATGGCGATATAGATCTTGCCGGCATCGCGTCTCGTTGCAGGCTGGGTACTTTTCAAGCCCGCGCCTCCAGACTGCCCGTTTGCTATGGCTCTGTACAGGCTCGTCCCCGTTCAGGGGGGCAACAAAGTTTTGTTAAATCTCGACGCACTCGCACTCGTGCGTTTTCTTTGTCTAGTTTGTCTAGTTGGCGTTGAAGCCCTCAGTGGCAGAAGTCTGTTGGCAGATAGTGCGTGATGTTTTCAACTATAGGGGGTTTCAGCGCAGGATGTGCTGTCACTGAGGTAGCAGATCCACCTTCCCAGGGGTACACTCGCGTTGTATGCCCTGCGCCCTGCATCGAGAATTTGAGATGGCGTGGCTGCTTTGCCAAGTACTAAGATAAAGTCTAGAGTTGGATGTCTGGCGTTGAAGGCAGTCGCGCCGTCCGAGATGCCACATTGTATGCCTTACATGTCCCACACTCCGCTGCCCATCCTCGGCGATCCGAGCGGAGAGATGGGCGTCGGCTGCGGCGTTCCTCCAGCTTTGCTTTATACAGACCAGCTCTTGGGGGCTTCGTCCTGTGGGATCCTGTGTGCTGCGTGAACAAAGTCACAAAGTGGTTCATGGCAGCCTGGTCTTCGCTTCCAGGCTGTCCGCCCTGACTGTCCAGCCATGAGCAGCTCGACACCAGGTTTTCCCACTTGTCCCGCGCATGCAGATAAAAAGCTTTGGAGAGGAGCCCCTTCCGGAAGTTTCACCTGCCGAGACTTGTATGTATCGCAAGTTGGGGCATTTTTTCTGCCTGTGCTTGGAAACCTCCGGTCCAACACGGTGGACGCCACGGCTCAAGCATTGTGCGATCCCCCGAACGCGAACCCCTGTGCAGCCAACCAAGTGCTGTTTACCTTGCCTCGCGACAGCAAGCATGGCAACCAGGGCAAACTCTCGACAAATTCTGACCTTGCTGCTTGCGGCGGTGTGGTCTTCCCATGCGGACATGTACTTGAACAATCCACGTGGATCGAACAACAAGTTGCGAGAGCAGAGCAACAACGTCCAGAACGCCAACCGGCTGTTCGACTCTCAGAACAATGCAGCTTCAGGTTATCAGATTGGCGACAACTGCAAGCCTGCATGCAAAGACGAGGACAACAACTACGACGTCACCGTTGAAGGTGCAACCCTGGGGACCATGAAGTACTACCAGGGGTCAGAGTTGTACATCGAGTGGGTGAATCAGCATGGTTGTGGCGTGGGGCACCCGAACCTTCACTGCCAGATCGTCCTGCAGTACATGACTGACAAGGAGAACCCCAACTTGCGAGACGGCACGGACCAGGACAGCGCGGGTGGAGATGACAACGATCCCACCGAAGAAGAGACGGCCGAGGTTGCGCGAGGATATCACGAGACGCTGGATTTCTACGAGGCCTGCATCACAAGGGAACGGAACAAGGGCCTCTACACGGCAGATCAGCAGATCGAAGAGAATGGTGGGGCGACCTCCACGCGCCAGAACCCAAACGGAAACGGAAGGCGTCGTGGAAACACCCGGCATGGACTGGAGTGTCCTGAGGAGAGGGACTACTACCCCTACTGGCACCCGACTCCGTGGCACGACATTGCCATTTTGACCGACGAGCCGCAGAGCCGTTGCGAGTACTACAGAGCCGAGTCCCAGAACGTGATGCCAAAGGGTCTTTGCTCCGACCCGCTGTACAACCAGCCCGACTCCTGCACTGGCAATGGTGGAGAGTGGACGGAGGAGCCGGCCTGGGACGAACCACCCCCCGAGTGTGTCGGAAGTATCTCCAGCCGCGACAACCACAACGGCAATGTTCGCAACGGACATTCTCATTACTATGTGTGGAAGATCCCCGAGTATGTGAAGGGGCGAGTTGTGTTGCGAATCCGCTACAACATCAGCACCGGAGATTTTGGCCTGGGATCTCTGGCGAACCCAAAGGAGGAAGGCGCCGAACTGACTGGCATCAAAGCTGACGAGTTCTTCATGGACAGCAAGTTCAACGACCCGAACCCAGGCAACCGCCGCCGCACGACTTTCCAAGGCCGACCAGCGGTACCTCTGCCTCTGGCGCAAGATCCGGTTGCAGATTGGCTTGGGCTTGGGGAGACGGGGGCAGATCTGAGCCGCTTGCTGCAGATTCAGGTGAACACGAACCAGTTTGGCCGGACGTTCGAAGATCGCACGCACACGTTCATGGTCATGGAGAGGCCCGCAGACGTGCCCACGTCTGCTAGAATTGTGAACTACAATGTTCGTGGCCGCCGCGGAAACATCGTGCAGGTCTACCCCTCGGTGGAGTACGACTTCGTGCCTCCCGAGCTGGAGGTCGAGCAGGGGACCCTTCTGCACTTCCAGTGGACAGGATCGGATGCCAACAACAACGGAAACGCAGGCAACGGCCGAGCTGGAACAGACCGCTCCAACTTGGTGCAGGTGCAGTCGCGCTCAGAAACGATCCCCCTGCCACTCGAGAAGCACACACTGCTCTTCGACGCCGCCGCGAACCCAGGCGACGAGGAGGGCAGGAAGCTCGTGGACAAGTTCGCGTTCCTGAACCAGGACGAGATCGTCACCTGTGATCCGGAGACGAACAACCAGAACTCCGAGACGAACTGCAAGCAGCTCAACGGCGCGTCGGCCTACTTCGATGGTGGCCTTGTGGAAATGAAGACGATCGGCACCCATCACATCGCCAGCACTCGGAACAACGATTTCACCAACCGGTCGCACAAGGCAAGCATCAAAGTGACGGGAGTCATCCTGGAGCTTTACGAGAACATCGCCTTGGGTGTGGCTGCCTTCTGCGGACTCGTCCTCATCATCTACGTTGCCTGTGCTGTTCATGCTGTGAGGAAGCCGGGCAGCTGGCTTTTCTCCCGGCGCTACCGCCCTCGGGTGTTGAACTGGGTGATAGGCAAGGATCGCATGGCACGGCTCGTAGAGGCACGGCGCCAGATTGTCGCCCAGCAGAGGAAGGAGTGGGCCAAAAAGGCCAACGCCCACGCGGTCGATGAGGAGGGGGCCGAGGGGCAGACAGCCGAAGTGGCTTTGCCCGAAGAGTCCATGACGTGGTTTCAGAGCTTCAAGCGCTGCTTCCGCAAGTGTGGCATCGGCGAGCAGCAGCTCACCACGCTCATGTATGCAGTGCTGAATATCCTAGTCTTCCTCATTGGCTTTCTCTCGAACATGAAGGGGGGCTTCCACGAGTCTTGGGCCTATCCCATTGCCAAAGGGGGTGGCTACAGCATGGACCTGAACTTCTCCATGCTTGTCCTGCCCACGCTGAAAAGCCTGCAGACGACCATGAGGCGCGTGAGCTCTTCGCGCGAGTGGGTGCCGATTGACGACCCCATCAACTTCCACATCGTGATCGCCAGCTTCACAATGCTCAGTGCCGCTATCCACATCGCCGGTCACTGCTTCCACATGTGGCTCATCAAGACTTCTCCCGTCATGCAGCTGGACCCTTTGCATCTCTGGAAGCTCACAGCCGAGGAGCAAGCCAGTGGCATGACCTTGCTGCAACAACTCCTGAACATCCAAATCCGCTGCGCCGCGCTCACGGGTGTGATCCTCACCTTCATGATGCTCGCCATCCTGCTGACGGCACTATCCTGCTCGCGGCGCGGCACGAACTGCCTCACTCGCCGCTGCTTCGGATACAATCTGTTTTGGCGTGTCCACATGTCCTGGAAGCTGATCTACGTCCTGCTGCTCTTGCATGCGCCTGCTCGACTTTGGATCTGGTTCTTCTTTCCGGCCCTCTTCGTGCTCGTGGACCGTCTCTTGCTTGCGAACCACCAGGCCATGTACCTGACGCTGCGGAGCGTGAAGCTGCTGCCACGAGATGTGATCGGCCTGACCTTCGAGGTTCCCCAAGGCTTCGCATACCAGGCCGGTCAGTACATCCTGCTGGGATGGAAGGGTGAGTGGCATCCTTTCACTTTGACATCAGCGCCGGAGGAGAATTGCATCAGCGTCCACATTCGCTCGCCCAACACTCTCGACTGGTGCTCCGCCCTTCGCAAGCGCCTTACTGAGGAAGCGCCGGCCCAGGCCCGAGGGGAGGCGAAAGCAGAAAAGCCACCAAGGGCGCCGCTTCTGATCGAGTACAACAAGTGCACTTTGCCCAACAGCCACATCGTCTACAATGTGCCCAAAGTCGCCGGCAAGGAGGGCAAGGAGCTCCCTGTCAAAGAGGACGAAGGTCCTCGCCTGCTCGGGCGAAACACCTCGGACAAGATGGGCCCAGCGGTAGCTCGCTCAGGCGAGACGCTGGTGAGCAGCCCGCCAAGCGGTAGCCTTCCTCAGGAGTCTGTGGTGTTGCAGGTCACGGGGCCTTTCGGCGCGCCGGCGCAGAAGGTTTGGGGTTTCGACACCCTGATGGTGGTGGGCGCAGGTATTGGTGTCACACCCTTTGCTTCCATCTTGCGGTCCGTGCAGCTCCGCTCCAAGCAGAGAGAGACGATCATGACCGCTGCCAGGCCATCTTCTTGGCGGAGCGCCATGGGCAACCAGGGCCAGGACGATCCAAGAAGGGCAGGTCTCCAAAGGCTCGTGGAAGATCTCGTTGTTGTGCCGAAGAAGATCTACTTCTACTGGATCTGCCGTGGCCAAGAGGAGTTCGACTGGTTTTGCGACCTCCTGGCGGCCGCTGCCGATGGTCCCGCCGCCGGCATCGTCGACATCACCCTCTTCCTCACCGGTGAGATCGAGCTGGGCCAGGTGAAGAAGCTCCCTTGTGCGTCCGGGCAGTTCTTTGGACGACCCAACTGGGGACGGATCTTCAAGCAGAATCGCGAGAAGCATCAGGGCGAGCACATCGGCGTCTTCCTCTGCGGTTCTCCGATCATTGGCGAGGAACTGTCCCGGCAGAGCATCAAGAATTCCGACCTCATTGGCACGCCCGGTGGCACCCGCTTCTCCTTCTTCAAGGAGCACTTCTAAGCCTGAGCATGCGACAGATTCAGTTCCCTGCCACGGCTGCCGATGGCGATATAGATCTTGCCGGCATCGCGTCTCGTTGCAGGCTGGGTACTTTTCAAGCCCGCGCCTCCAGACTGCCCGTTTGCTATGGCTCTGTACAGGCTCGTCCCCGTTCAGGGGGGCAACAAAGTTTTGTTAAATCTCGACGCACTCGCACTCGTGCGTTTTCTTTGTCTAGTTTGTCTAGTTGGCGTTGAAGCCCTCAGTGGCAGAAGTCTGTTGGCAGATAGTGCGTGATGTTTTCAACTATAGGGGGTTTCAGCGCAGGATGTGCTGTCGCTGAGGTAGCAGATCCACCTTCTCAGGGGTACACTCGCATTGTATGCCCTGCGCCCTGCATCGAGAATTTGAGATGGCGTGGCTGCTCTGCCACGTACTAAGATAAAGTCTAGAGTTTGATGTCTGGCGTTGAAGGCAGTCGCGCCGTCCGAGATGCCACATTGTATGCCTTACATGTCCCACACTCCGCTGCCCATCCTCGGCGATCCGAGCGGAGAGATGGGCGTCGGCTGCGGCGTTCCTCCAGCTTTGCTTTATACAGACCAGCTCTTGGGGGCTTCGTCCTGTGGGATCCTGTGTGCTGCGTGAACAAAGTCACAAAGTGGTTCATGGCAGCCTGGTCTTCGCTTCCAGGCTGTCCGTCCTGACTGTCCAGCCATGAGCAGCTCGACACCAGGTTTTCCCACTTGTCCCGCGCACGCAGATAAAAGCTTCCGGGCCTGATGCGGCGAGATCTTGCCACGCAGTTATGCACACTACGGGCCATGGGACCGCCTGCAGTTCCGAAAGCGCGTTCTGGCTTGCAGGGCTATGCACTGCCTGGCGGTGGAATGGTCACCGTCCCTCTCGACGGCCCAGTCGCCTTGGAGGAGCCACTCTCGATTCTGGGATTCAAAACATAGGCTCTCGGCTGACACTCAGAGCCCAGCTGCAAAAAGGGTTATAGATAAAGTTTAAGCGCGCTTGGGTTGCAGCTACCCGACTTTCCATCATGGAAGATTTGTGCTTTGTTGAGGGTGGCAGGCCACGTCGACCGAAGGGAAAAGATTCCGATCTTCAGGGACCGGAAGCAGAGATCTTCGTGCAGGAGTTCGAGCAGTTGGACCCGAAGACCAAGTACATGTTGCTGCAACGGGCACAGGAGGACTCCGGATGAGGGGAATTTATTGAATAGATGCCTTGACCATCTCGGAAACTGGTCCTTCGGTTTTCCGAAGCCGGTTATCCAGGATTTGAAGCTGCCCGTTTACTTGTTGCAATAGTGAGGGGCGCAAGGAGTATGTGTGCCGGCATCTAACAAGTTTGCTGTTTCAATCAACAGTAGGTCGGGATCGCTTTGCAAAAGAGTTGGGCAGGGGAGTGTATATGCGGACCAAAGGTCCGGTTCGCGGGGTGCAAAAACTCATCCAAGGGACTCTCCATAGTATGACTGTTGCCTTACTGCTACGGCTACTCCGACGGCTACTGATACTAACCTATATTGATGTACATTCCTCTACTATACCACCGTGAAAGGAAAGCATGTCCAATAAAGAAGCATTGAACGCACCTATGTATTCTGTGACCTATACGACAGTCGCGAAGCCTGCAAAACCCGAAGAGCCGACTCAGTTCACTCCAACCTTTGACGGGAGGCCTGGTTCGGCGAGTCTCGCGTCAAGTCGGTGGAAGCGAAGGATGACATGGGTGCCTTCGTGAATGCTGCTTGCCCAGACACACGCGGATGGCTTAAACAGGGAATTCCAAGCCGGTCACTCCATTTGGTCGTGCTGGGAATAACCACGCATTGAACAGAGTAGTTCCGTCGCGCGAGCCTTTTTGGACAGTTTCAGGCATTGTAGGCTTCTGTAGCATCTTGTGATGGTATGCTCCACAAGAACAGAGGCACCTTCCACGCACGGCGCCGAAGTTCTTTTGCAGGTGTGTGTCAGCAGAACCCACACGTGCCCCAACCTCCGCATCCCTGCACTTCCGCAGCCAGAGGTCTGGGAACGCGCAAAATTTAGAATGTCCGGGATCCGTTTCAACAAGCTTTTTTTGGTCGTGCCCCCCCCCCCCTCCCCCCCGCCCCGCCAGCCACACATCTCGGTTGAGGGAGTTGTCTCGGTGCTTTGCTCCACATCCATCTGCTCAGGCTCCTTGGCAACCCGTCCTGTCCCTGTCTCATGCTGCATGCCTGCAATAGGCCTTCACGATGCAGCTGCGCTCATGGCGGCCGTGCGGCCGGCTTGAAAGACCTGCTTCCACCCCGGACATGGAGTCCCGGGACAGAGATGGTCGGGCACCGCTTCATCGAGCAGCTCGTCACGGAGAATGGACCGATTTAACTGTGCTGCTAGCCTTGGGCGCGGACAAGGAGGCCCGAAGTAATCGTGGCTCAACTCCGCTGCATTTAGCAGCCAGCAATGACAAACGGTGCGTCCAAGAGCTTCTGGCAGCAGGTTGTGACAAGGAGGCTCGAGACAACCGTGGTTGGACGCCGCTGCATGTAGCAGCCAGCAACAAGCGCACGGAGTTCCTCCGGGAGCTTCTGGCAGCTAGGTGCGACAAGGAGGCCCGAAGCAACCGTGGCTGGACTGCTGCATGTGGCAGCCAACAACAGTCGCACAGAGTGCCTCTGCGAGCTGCTGGCAGCAGGCTGTGACAAGGAGGCCCGAGACAACCGTGGCGGGACTCCGTTGCATATAGCGGCCCGTGGCAACCTAGTGAAGAACGTCTTGGAGCTTCTGGCTGCTGGTTGCGACAAGGAGCCCCGCGACAACGATGGCGCTGCGCCCCTGGACCTAGCAGATCATGATGAGTGCAAGGCGCTTCTGGTCACGCAGCTGCATTGTACCCTCCTGGCATCCGCATCTCTGGTTGCCGATGAGGATGCTCGGCGACAGCTGGAAATGGCCTACGCCGCCTTGCGTGAAAGCCTCGCGGGAAATCGATATGCCGATATGCCAACAGCACCTCCATGTCCGTGGCCCTGTTTGACGATTTCGACGCAGAGGTCCAGTGGGACCACCTGCCACTGAGAGAACTGGCAGAATTCACTCCACCTCAAGGTTTCCGGACGTGCACAACATACACCTGTGCATGGCGAGCATGCCAAGACTTGCTGCGCAAGTCCTCCGCATTTACTCAAGAGTGCATCTTGCTCTTCACGAACACTCTGCTCGGGCCGCCGGCCGAGAACGTCCTCATGGAGTTGCTACGAGAGCACGAGTCCCGCATAGGCATGGTCCTCTTCATCAGTGTAGGTGCAGCAAAAGGTGCCAGCCTCAACACATGGATGCAAATCCAGCAGCTGCGAGATGCCGGCGTCGAAGCTCGACTCCTGGCGGCCGGCTGCAGAGGAGATTTGCTGGACGCCGCAAAAACGGCAGCTGCTGACATCGAAGTCCTTCGCCAAGGAATCTGCAGGCTTCGCATCAACGGCATGTCCGGGGCGCGGATTGCAGACGTGGATCGACGAGATCTCCGTTATTTTTCGGACATCAAGGAGAAGGTCAAAGATGGTGTCATGGAGCACCTGAAGTGCATTGGCAAATCGGCAGAGGAGCAGAGCTGGATGCTTGTGCTCGACGATGCCAGTACTCCTGAGGACAACTTCGAAGTTGCCAACATACCTCTGTCGTCAGCTATGACTCTGGTTTGTTTCGACAAGATCAAGGACCAGGTCCCTGCTGACTCCTTGGATGCGCCTCGACGAGATGCAGGGATCAGCCGCGACCGCGTCGAGGGACACCTGGAGGAGGTGGCAGTCGAGCAGAGTGCTTGCACGGAAGAGGCGGCAGGCTACAGTCTGGTGGATCCGAACGGCCTGATCGACTTCCTCGTGGATGGAGATTCGCCCAGTACGCCTGGAGTATTTGGTTGAACTTCTTGAGTCGGGGAGGGCTTTGCCACGGCGCCAAGAAACCCAGAAGGAGAGGACCAAATCGGGGCTCCCGGCCCTCGTCGCAGCTGGCGAGCTGCAGCAGTTGGACGTCAACCCCGAGACCTTCCACGTGTCCATCATGCTCTCGCATCCAGCCCCGAGACGGGTCACCGTCCATTTCGTGTCCGTCAGCCACGTCTGGGAAAGCATGCAGCATCCGGATCCTTGGAGATTTCAGCTTCAGTCCATCGTCGACGAGTACCGCCCTCGACTCGTTGACTCCGTGGTATGGGTCTTCTTTGATTTTGTCTCCCTCCACCAGTGCAGAAGAGACGAGGATGAGGAACGAATGTTTCGGCTTGCACTTCAGGGGATATATGTGCTCTACTCCCATGAGGCGGTGGAAGCCCAGAGGATCGAGGGCCTCACTCCCACAGAGCATAAGACTGACTGCCTGGCGAGGAATGGTTCACGCATCCCGGTGTACTGGAAGGAGGAGAAGAAGGTGACGGACGTCCCCATCAATCAGCTGAAGTTAAACCACACGCCCTATAGTTTCCGAGGCTGGTGCCAAGCAGAGAGACAGTGGGCAGCCCTCAGGACTTCGATGAAGGGCGAGTTCCCAGTGCCACTCCCACCTCACATTTTTCGGGACAGAATGAAGACGTTGCTGTTTACACACCGGGAAGACTCAGACAGAGTTTTCGAACTTCAGGAGAAGCTATTCAGGCAGAAGGCCGCTAGTACCACGAGGTTGCTGGCAGAAGACCTGGACGTCGACAAGATCGCGGATCTCGCTGCAGCTTTGCCGTTTTACACGAAGCTCGAAGAGGTGGTACTCACTGCAGTTCCAGAGCACGCTGCATGGAAGGTAGCCGTGGCCGTAGTGGAGTCCGGTGCTTGTGACATCCAGATCGAAAGCAACAACTTCGGCGATATGAATGCCGTCAGTTTTGCGACGGCTTTGTGGACGCAGGAAGTGCGACCCTTGCACCGGCTACACCTGATCTGCAACATTGGCGAAATGGGTCGGGAGGCGCTGAAGCAGATGATAGAGCGTCGGTCCACTTCCGGAGTCTGTCAACTCGTGATAGAGAACAGAGACCTCAACGGGTGCTGTTTCGGAGCGGAGCCCGAACAGGGCCAGCCTGAGCACAAGAATGCAATGCTACGTGTCTTGGTCCGTAAGCGCACACATGAGCGGCTCCACGTGGAGGACATTCCCGCAGGCGGCTCGAATGTGCCAGAAAAATCAAGGCCTGCCCATCGTCTCACCTCCTCGGCCAGACGAGGCACATTCACATCACGATTGCGACGCTCAGGCCCTGTGAGGGCTGAAAATGTGTAAACGCAATCAATCCTCGAGAACGAGTCGGTGGATAGTTGGGGCATGTTGAACATAAGTAGGGAAATCATATGAAATCATGACTGCGGGTCTACTTGGGTCTTTTCATTGGGCCATCTTGAACACGTCGCCGAAGGGCATGTATCGAGATGAGGGCCGACATCCCAAAAGGGATGCTCGATTGTATACAGAGCTTCGAGAGCTTATTTTAGCCGGAGTTTAGGAAGGTCCTGCGCAGCTTTTCCTGTGAAGCAATTCTCTCTGTGCTGCCGCAGCATTCACTTGAGTGAAGTCCGCTTCTTTTGCGACTCTGCTTTGGGGACGATGGTGTCTCGCATCTACGAAACTCAGTCCGAGTCCGTACAAGCATGTGCGAGTCCGTACCCTGTGGTCAAAGCTGCCAAGGTTCAGCTCGAGATGTTTCTGTGCCTTGTCTGCCAAGTCCGAGGCTCCAGGGTGGCTTTCAACGTCGTGCCTGTTCACACTTCATGGTGCGAGCATTCGGGGCGTGTATGTATTAACTACGCATGCCTCCGTCAATACATCCACACGCACGCGCGCAGACACACACACATGTATATATATATATATACACACTGTATATATATATATATATATATACACAATATACATGCACATATATATATATATATATATACATACATATATATATATATATATATGTACATACATGCCTGCATGCATCCGTACACACCTACATACATATACATGTGCACGCGCACACATATCCATTTAAATATATGCACATACACATTTACACATTGTACGACATTATACGCATACACATCTATCTATCTGTATATAGATACACACACACGTATACATATACATATACATATACATTACATGTACATATACATATACATATACATATACATATATATATATATATGTATATATATATATATATATATATATATATATATATATATATATATATATATATATATATATATATATATATATATATATATATATGCTGTACACAGTCGCGCGGATACGTGCATCGGCACGAAACGGTACAGACATAAGTGCACAATAGACCCGCACAGGGATTCAGAGCTATGTGTGCGTTTGTATTCTTACGTGCATGCATGCATACACTAGCTGATCCAGCGGAGCCCCGAAGCACAAAGGCTGACGTTTGTGCACGGATGCATGCACGTCTGTATGCATGTCATATAGCATTACAACTTTTATACTGTAGACATATCCATACATACATACATACGTACCTGCAATGCAGACATACTTATATGTATATAGTATGTATATTATGTTTATGTATGTATACATGTTATTGTGCTATAACTGTATGTAAATCTCTCCTTTCGAGTGCGGGCATCGGAGAGGGTTGGAAAATGTATATGTGTATGTTCGATTTGCAGACACATATAAATAGATACACCTGCGTAAACCTGTGTGTGTGGGAATGCATTTCTAGGTGCCTGTACACATGCGCATAGGTTTTGATTCTGCATATGTGCCGCACAAGATCTGGCATAGTTCACAGGCGCCACATACGAACCAACAAAGAGCTGGAGAAGGTGAAGAGCTTTGGCGAAAACAAGTTCGACCGGCAAAATTGATGACTGCATGGTGCTCGTGCTTTTGTGGCTACCTTCACTGCCCCACATTTTGACAAAGGAGAAGCATGGCCGAGCAGACATCCCGCCCTGCAGGCGGCCCCTCTGCACAAATTCCGGAACGGTCGGAAGTGCAGTTGTCGCGCTGTCATACAACTTCCGCATGACACGCAGTGCAGGTGGCGATCTGGCCGAAGGCGAAGTCTACCGACCCCCCAGCTTCTTGCAGCGAGCACAGGCCGTCATGGTTGCAGACCCACTACTCCTAGTCCTGCTCCTTCTGATGCTGCTACTACTACGACGGCCACGACGACGACTACTACTACCCCGACCGCTACCGCTACCACCAAAAACTACCGCAGGAGTAGTACGAGTCGAGAAAGAGGTAGGGGTTTGTAGGGGCAGTACAAGTAGTCGGAGTATAAGGAGGAGGAAGAGAAGGAGGGAGGAGTTTTAGCTGTCGTAGCAGTTGTCGTAATGGCACAAAAGCAGTACCTCGACGAGCAGCAGTTGTTGCCGCGATGGCGGCAGTGGTCGTGTATTGCAAGACTATACTTGGGGTGCCCGAAGTCGTCGTGGTTATGGAGGCTTGTGGGAACGATGAGACGCTTCGTCACACTCAGCGCTGAACGGCTTAATGACTTAATGTACTACATACGTACAACGGCAACATCCCGGCCCATGGACGGCCGTGACAGCTGGCATGGCAAAACCTGTCACTGGTTGATACTACAACATCCAGAAGAGTAGCAGCAACCGAGCGAGTGTATGATGCCTGCGGCCGCAGGATGCAACAACTATCATCAAACTAGGTTGTTTCCGGCTGGAACCGGTGAGAACGCGCAGGCAGAGCCTGTTCCGGTGCCTGAAGAGGCCAGGGTCGCCAGAGTTGTGCAGTCTTTGCTTTCGGAAGCATGTGCAGAGTTTTCCCGGGTCTGAGGCCCAACCGGCCGAGCCTGCAGAGGGCAAGGGCAAAGGGAAGGGCAGAGGCAAGGGAAGAGGGCGAAAGCAACGGCAGTGCCTCGGCGACAGTTTGGCCGAAGGCGACGACACCACTGCCAGTCACAAAACGTCAGGTTTTTCCAAGTGGACGTAGCCGACATAGCCTGGAGGCTTGATGGGGCGGAACCGAAACGCCTGGAGCCATTACTAGGCCAGGCCTCCTGCGCTTTTGACTGCGCTTGACCCCACATTGTCTTCTTGTCAAGTTGTTTCATGATGCCGCCTCTCGATCTACCCAGGCTCAAGACGCATCTTCCCCGTTCCTGTTTTGGGCCTTCGCGAACGTAATGCAAGAAGATTGAAGACCTGACATGCATGTCCGACATTCAGCAGGCTACAAGTTTCAAGCAAACCATGCCGCTCATGAGCAAGCTACGTCCACTTGGACTTGCCAGCCTTTCGTTGGCGGCCATGGCATTTGCCAGCGATGTCTTTGTGTGGCGACCTGCACCAATGCCTGCTCAACTAGCAGATGTCCGCACACATGCAATTCGACCGTCAAGAGGTGTGAGGATGTCCAAGGCCAAGGAAAGTCGCGGAGTTCGGACAGCGAGGGCTTCTTATCCGGAGCTTTCCTGCGACCTTTCATGGGGTCAAGTCGCCGCATCTGTGCTCGCAGGCATTGCCTGCGCCACTGCCGTCTCTGAATCCAAGGGCTCCAAGGGTCTCAAGCGCCCATCGACGGAGGATCGGGAGACCTTCGGGCCGAGTTGGCGGGAGTTTCGGGCACGCCTGGTGCAGAAGGAGCGATCAGAATCAAGCGGGAAAGGTGGACGACAGCCAGGTGAGGCTACCGGAGCTACCGGGTGGATGCATTCGACAACTCTCATCGAGAAAGGCTCCGTGCTGATATCTCGTACGGGGGACCAGTTCACCTTGGATCAGCAGTACTTCTTGAATGCAGTCGTCCTGATCTTGAAAAGGGACGAGGGCGGAGACGTCGGTGTCATCTTGAACCGCCCATCGGACTGGACCGCAGAAGACTTGGGCGTGCCGAAGCCCAATGCCCTCAAGGAGGCAGACCTCCAGTTCAGAAAGCTGCTGGCCACCCTCGGTGGCAACGTAGTGGAGGAGCAGCCATGGAAAGTCTCCTATGGTGGGCCCATGCATTCGGCGCGGGATGCGGAGCAAGAGCAGCCCACGCTGCTTTGCTTGTATCGCTGCGATTCCGATCGAGAGGGCGCAGGAGAGGAGATCATCCCAGGTCTCCGCTGGCTTCCCTTTAGCCGCGCGAGAGAGATGGTGGCAACAGGAGCTGCGAGGCAGGAGGACTTCCTTCTCCTCTCGGGCTATTGTGGTTGGCGCCGCGGTCAGCTCCAGCAGGAGCTGAATGTGGGCCGCAGCTGGTTGCTGGCTGCGGCGGATCATCAGGCTTTGTTTCCTGGTGGATGTCTCCAGGCCAGTTGCCTTGACCTGGGCATGAGTCGCTGGGAGCATTTGCACGAGAGGCTTTTTGATTTCGCATCTATTGATGGCCATGATGGCAAGACCGCCACTGCAGCGCTGAAGCGGTGGATGACCGACCTCCGGCCAGCTTTGCTAAATCCATCGCTGCCAGTAGATGTTCAGCCTCAGACGCTCCACAGAAACCTCTCCGCCGGTCGGCTCCTGCGTGGCTCCTCCTCGCATTGGATCCTGGGTGGACCCATTGATCAGAGGCCCGCCAAGGCGGCTGGCACTCAGCCGCCGGCGCAGTACCTGCACAAGGCCGTGCTTCTCGTCTTGGCAGATGTTACGCCCGATGAGCCTTCCGCGGCTCGCTCAGATGACAAGCCTAACAGTTTCGCTCGATTGTTATTGTGCATTATATCATGTATGAAAATTTTTTGGAAATAAACCAATCTGTACATATACATATATATATATATATAAGGAGGCTAGATATTTTCTTAACAGTCTCAGAAACCTTTGGGGTCAAAAGGTGGTGGTGCTCCTCACCGGGCCGAAGATCGGAGAGCTGCCCAAGGGCAAAGGCGACGTGTTCTTCGGAGGGCGTCCTGGCCGCAGCGAGCTTAATGGATATATATATATATATATATATATATATATATTGTTTTAGTTATTTATGATCCATGTATGTAAAAAGTTATATATATATATATAATTCATGTTCATGTTCTTTTGAGAATGACTAGAAAATGGATGAATTATCTCCATCTGCAGCTCGAGAGTCTCGTCGACTTATCATCTTTCTGCTCTGAAAGGTGGGCACAGCCAAAGAAGACGCACGAAGTGCTGCAAGTTCCCGGTGGCTACATCTGGGGCTGCGCCGGCTGTCTGTTACCTTTCGGGGCAGCATTTGGAGTTTAGGAGTTTAGGGTTCGGGCTTCGGCCTTGAAGTTTAGGGTGCGACTGTATATCTGTATCATACAGAATATACGTCTATAAGATACATATACATAGTTTCGTATGTCTCTATTTTATTTTTTGCAGAACTGGGCCCAGCCAGGCCAGCTGACCTTCCCTCCGGGAAGGTTGGAGGAGCTACTGGAGCTGGGCCCCGGGCCCAGGGGCCGTGCACTGGGGCCCTGCTTGCTGTTTCCGTGTTACAGTATGGGGATCTCTTGCACCAAAAGTTTAGATATGTAGGCAGACTTTTACAGCCCTTTATGTGTAATGACTCTACATTTTTTTATGTAAAGTTAAGTTATGTCTTACACGTTCAGTCTGTATGCTTTCCCCTGCGAGGTATATCTCATGACATGAACCCCCTAGGAGCACCTTCTGTTCTGAGGTGCAGTTGAAGAGGTGCATGGGCTGAGCTTGAACGAGGCGCAATGCCTTTGTCTCTGTTGGCCGATCTGCTTTCATATCATGATAAGTTATCAGGGTTGTTTCTTATAGTAGAAGATACTTGTAGAGACTTCGCTGCAAGCGGCAATGAAATGCCACTTCCTGCACGACGCCTGCAGCACCACTGTGGTGGCAAAGTTTGATGCCCCATAAATCGTGCGACACCGTGCGTACGAGTTGCGAGAGTCCAGAGTCGAAGCCATACTACGCGCATTTTTAAGACAATAGGAATAATAATGAAAGCATGATGTCATATAGCACAGTATCATATTATAGTATCACAGAATTTTTGCACTATCTGTGCAGGTTCTAGAAGTTCCACCGGCACTTCGTTGGGCCGCTGCAGGGGGATGCATTGACAGCATCAACGCCCCTCGTCGACGAACTCGGAGTTCATTGGTTCTGGCGTAATTGGCGGGTCTGGGAGGTGTCTGTTTAGGGTTCAAGGGTTCCCTACCACTCCGGGCGAAGTGGAAAGCCTGTTGCAAAAGGGGTGCAGGGCAGGCATCATGTAGGGGTCTACGTACCACCGTGTATCCGCAGTTCCGCCCCTCATGGATCTGATGATGTGAGTGAGATGTGAGGAAGCATCGGCGGCCCTACTGGGGAATGCCCAGCAGAAGCACTGGTACCGACAGTACCTGGGCATAGCCGTAGAAGAGCTCCGCGACTGACAGCATCCTTGGCTACCTGATCCAGCTGGGGTCAAAGCCACTGTTCCATGAATGTTCCGTGCCATGCTCTGTGAGGATAGGCTTTCTGTAACCATCGCATCGAGGGAGGGCATGAATCACAAAGTCTAATCAATCGTACGAGACTAAGCTTCGGGCCGATACACTCGGAAGCCAGATTTACGCACCTGCTCTGCTCTCTTCTCGCGTCGAATTGCGTTTGAACGTATGGGCGCCAAATGCTGCGCACAATGATTCCGAAGCTGTCTTGGCGCGTGTTGATTGTCAGCCTTATCTGACTTGACGACGTAGCCGGTAGGCCGGTATGCGAAGTTTTGGCATCAGACAACAGGACGTTGCGTAGAAAATTAGACACAACTGTTTAATTAGATGAGCGTGCAGAAGCCTGCCTGCATGACCTGGCTAGTGACAAGCCAATCAGCTGAGAAGCAGCCTGGCAGTCGATTTCGGGCTAGTGGATGTGAGTGACAGTTTATGACATGGCTGCACAGTTGCTATTCCTCTTTATGCCAATTCGAATTGCCGATGCTGCTGCTGCTACGACGACGATGATGGCTATGCTCATACACGAACGAGTGCAACAACCACAGCAGCAGCGGCAACAGCGACGACAGCAGCACGGCTGCTGAGACTTAGGCCACAACGAGGACTACTCCTGTTGGTACTCCTGCTCCTCCTGTTCCTCCTACCACTACTACGACGACGACTACTACTGCTACTGCGACGGCTGCGACTACTACTACAACTACTCCCATTACTATCACTGCTACTGCTACTGCTACAGTCAGCTGCTGCTGCTGCTACTGCTAGCTGCTGCTAGTGCTACTGCTGGTACTGTTACTATGTATTCCTTCTACTGCAACTACTTACTACTACTCCTCCTACCATTGCGGCCACTACAACTGCTGCTGGTGTGCTAGCATGCTGCTACTTCTTTTATGACATATGCCACTCCTACCACGACGACGACCGCGACCAAATCGATGCTGAGAACGGGGTACAAGCCTTATTCCTCAACTTCGCGCGGTTCCGTCAACCAAGATTCTGTCAACCGCGCTTCCTTCAACCATGTTCCCCGCTTCCCTCAACTCAGATCGTGCCGATTCTTTCAACCCCATCGCCCGATTCCCTCAACTCCCGAGTCTGTCAACCCCCATTGCCCGCTTCCATCAACTGCTCATTCCGTCAACTCCGCCCCCCCCCCCGCTTCCGTCAACACTACACTGCAATCTAAGCATTTCGCCCGCTCTTTTGCCAGTCTCGCATTGACAAATAGGGCAGACGTAGGTTAGTTTAAACATTTGTAGGTTTTATTTAGTTTCACACAGGAAAGCAAACTTTCGCAGTCTTTAGTTTAAACACAGAAAAACACATTTTCGGAGTCGCGCGTAGGCACCAGTTAGTTTAGACATGGAAAACAAACCGTTTATAGGGTTCATTTACTTGAAACACAAAAAAACAAACCTTCGGAGTCCCGGGTAGGCGCAGGTTAGTTTAGACATGGAAAACAAACCTTTTGTGGCGTTTATTTAGTTTAAACACAGAAAAAAACATTTTCGACGTCCCGGGTAGGCACCAGTTAAATTAAACATGGAAAACAAACCTCTTGTAGGGGTTATTTAGTTTGAACACAGAAAAACAAACTTTCGGAGTCCCGGGTAGGCGCAGGTTGGTTTAGGCATGGAAAACAAACCTTTTGTTGGGTTTATTTAGTTTAAACACAGAAAAACCAACTTTCGGAGTCCCGGGTAGGCGCAAGTTAGTTTAGACATGGAAAACAAACCCTTCATAGGTTGTATTTAGTTTAAACACAGAAAACAAACTTTCGTAGTCTTGTTTAAAGACAGAAAAACAAACTTTCCGAGTCCCGGGTAGGCACAATTCGTATGGCTTCTTTTTCTGTGTTGGAAATTTGCGTCGTTGTCGCTTTATATCATTCTGGTTGTCTTAGCTTCTTAGCTTTTTATCTAAAGCGATTTCGTAAATCGATTTCGTATGGCTTCTCCGTTGTACTTCATTTACCTTTTTCTTCGCTCTTGACCCCCCTGAAGCGAGTTCGTGTAGCCTCTTCGTTCGTGTTGGAAAAGACGTTTTTGTGTACTCTTCAGCTATACAGTATTTACTTTCTTTTCTTCGCTTTTAACCCCTTGAAGCGAGTTCGTGCAGCTCTTCTTCTTATTCTTGTAGGAAAGACAAGCTCCACTTTTCTTCTCTTTTTGCCTTCCTAAAGGGATTTCGTGTGGCTTCTTCGTTGACGCTGATGAAATGTTTGTGCTTAGTTTTTCGGTTGTACCTCATTTACTTTCTTCTTCGCTCTTAACCCCCCTGCAGCGATTTCGGGTAGCCTCTTCGTTCTTCAACCCCCTGAAACGATTTCGTGCGGCTCGTCTTCTTCTTGTAGGAAAGACGAGCTTCACTTTTCCTCTACCTTTCTAAAGCAATTTCGTGTGGCTTCTTCCTTCATGTTGATGAAATGTTTTGCTTTAATTTTCGGTTGTACCTCATTTGCTTTTATCTTCGCTCTTCACGCCCCTGGAGCGATTTGGTGTGGCCTCTTCGATCGTGTTGGAAAAGACGTTCGCTTCGGACTTCCTGAAACGATTTCGTGAGGCTCTTCTCTTTTGTAAAAGACAAGCGCCACTTCTTTGTTTAGCTTTGTACCTTTCTGAAGCGGTTTTGTGTGGCTTCTTCCTTCATATTGATGAAACGTTGTTTATTTACTTTGTTCTTCGCTTTTAATTAGCCCACCTAAAGCGATTTTATGTGGCCTCTTCGTTTGTGTTGGCAAAGACTTTAGACGTTTTTGTGTAATGTTCTGCTATACAATGTCGAATCTTGTTCGTCGCTTCTGACCCCCGGAAGCGATTTCGTGTGGCTGAATTCTTCGTGTTGGAGATAACGTTTTCAATTAATTTTTGGTTATGCAGTATTTACTTTCTTTTCTTTGCTTGTAACTCCGTGAAACGATTTCGTGCGGCTAATCCTTGTAGGAAGGACAACCTCCACCTTCCGAGTGTGTTCATCTTCCCTCGGAGTTTGTTTGGAGTGTGTTTTTCCTTGGACCAACAAACCGTTCCCCCCAGAGTTTGTTTTCTGTAGGAAACACAAAACCCTCCCCCCAGAGTTTGTTTTTGTAGGAAAAACAAATCCTCCTCTACCCCCGCGCCGCCCAAACCACTCCCCCTAGCATCACTGAAACAAACAAACTTCTCCCATAGGAGTTTGTTTTTCACCGCTGAAACAAACTCACCTGGTCAGGGTTTGTTTGTACCCGCTGAAACAAACTCGTCGAGACGGAGTTTCAAGTTGGTTTGTTTTCCTCGCCTCCCCAACCTGGCTCTTCGTGACCCAACCAAAAGATGATCCGCAAACGTTTGTTTTCTTCCGGCGAAACAAACCCAACCCCTCCTCCCAGTGTTTGTTTCTTTTTGCGGAAAAAACAAACTCGCCTGGACCCCCCCCCCCTTCGGAGTTTGTTCTTCCTAGTGAAAACGAACCCCTCCCCCCAGGGTTTGTTTTCTGTAGGAAACACAAAGCCCTCCCCCAAAGTTTGTTTTTTGTAGGAAAAACAAAGCCCTCCCCCCAGAGTTTGTTTTCTGTAGGAAAAAACAAACTCTCCTGCACCCCGCCTTCGGAGTTTGTTTTCCTAGTGAAAACAAAATCCTCCCCCCAGAGTTTGTTTTTGTAGGAAAAACAAACCCGGGGCACAAGAATCCGCGTGTTTGTGGTTGAGTAAGTCCTCGTGGCTGGGGTAGCACGCGTGTCTGTAGTTGGAGCGACTCTTTCTGTATAGGTTGAACGAAGCAGTTGTTGGGGTTGAAGGAATCATTCCCGGGGACGTGGTTGAGTGAATCTGCGTTGTTTGGGTTGAAGGAATCATTCCCGGGGACGTGGTTGAGTGAATCTGCGTTCTGAGGTTGAAGGAATCAGGTTTTGAGGTTGAAGGCATCCGCGTTGGCGGGTTGACAGAATCCGCGGGCAGTGGTTGACGGAATAATCGGCGAAAAGTTGAAGGAATCCGCGCGCGACCCTGAGAACGGCAATGACCACGCGACGAGGACGACGGTGAACTTGTATCTCCGAGTGATGTCATCCGTTGAAAAGTAGTTGATTGGCCTGGCTTCGTGTTGTGGTATTCAGTCGTTTTCGGTTTCTACGCCAATGGTAACCCTCATCATCTTAGGTTGGGCCGCTAGCCCGAGGCACTGCCACTCTTGTTGTACCTGCTATGCTCCAGCTGGCAGTCCGCTCTTATGCGGTGTCGGACATGCGTAGGGCCTGTGGCCAAGCGCGACGTTGCGCGCATGAATGGGGCCACGTCTGACGACGGCAAGACACGGTGGAAAAGCCAAGACCGCACGCCTTCACTTGCAAAGTCAGGGTCCTGTTTGTAGCTGGTACCGCTCACCGGAGGCAGCGGCGACGCAGAGGAGGCGATGTCTTGGCTGGAGGCAAAGGGGATGGTAGGGCAAGTTCTAAGCACAGCACCGCCATAAAGAGATTGAAGAGATTTCTGAGTACTGGATAGTGATATTTCTATAGGTTGACGCACAGCAATTAATACTGTAGCTGGGCTTGACAAGAGTAACTGCACGAAGCCACTATCAGTAGTCATTTCGAAATGGTCTTCTTTCGAGCAGGAAGGAAGATGACGTTTTCTGAGCAGTCTCGCTTCAGACTGGGTGGAGCAGGCTCCCTCGGCTGATGAGGCTGTCATGGAGCAGCCTGCGGAGGCCCAGAGCAGACGCACAGCCCATACAGCTTTCATGATGTTCTTGGTATCAGAGCTGCGGCTCATGTGCTTCTTGCTTAGTTGTGTCTGAACAGTGCGTCATAGTCCGATTCCAAGCGTCTCATGCTGCTCTGGTAGCACTGCTGCTGCTGGTGCTCCTTCTTGGGCCCAACTGATGATGCCGACGAAGTCCAGCCATGATGGCAGTCGCCGCGGACGCTTGTGCTGGTGCTAGTGCTGATGCTGCTGGTGCTGGCAGGTCATTGTTCGCGTTGCTGTCATTCCTGCTGCTTTTTGTTGTTGGTGTTGGTGTTGGTGTTGGTGTTGTTGTTGTTGTTGCTGCTGCTGCTGACAGTCGTGGCCCAGTGGTGTTGACGATGTACTCTTGATGATGACGGCGGTTACAACGTACAAGGGGTCGGCTGGATGCGTGAACCGCACCTTGACAGAACTGTCGTTGGTGATTCGGACGTTTTGGCATTGCAGTTCACCGCAAGTGCTGGGAATAGCTTCTTCGACGCGTATGTGAGTCTGTAAGTATACCCGTTCGTTATAGGCTTGGTCATGGCAAGTTTCAAGATACAGATAGAACTACCCTCGCAACGTACAGGTGATCTGTCATCTGTCTCTTCCTTTCATGATTTCTGTTTCTTCCCATCGCTCTTTTTGGCAGGTCGCCCATGACCCCATGGAGGAAGATCCGGAGAACGCAGAAGACCTCTTCGGATCTGCCTACTTCGACGAGGTCTTCTGCTCCTGGGCCTGGGCGGTTTTCTTACCTTTGGGTAGTAGGGAATGGAAGAATGGTAGTAACTGGTAGTAATAGTAGTTATTATTTCACCCCATTCCTTCATTCCCTACTATTCAAAGGTAAGTTTATGGCCAAACTTTGGCCCCGGCAGGTGGCCGAAGCATCCTCCCCTGTGGAGGACCAGGCGGAGCATTGTGATTCAGGGGGGTTGTTTGGCAGGGAAAGCGGAAAGAAGTCGAGCCAGCATCCAGCATCTGTGAAATCTGTTTTCTCACAAACTGGGGCATTGATGTGTTTCGGAGCGATTGTTCTTGCGATTCAGACTCCGAGAAGTTCCTGCCGGCATGTGCTGCGATCTCACAGGAGCTGGCTCCCGAACTCCGCCCATCGAAGCGGCTAAGATGCGAAGCACCGGAGCTCGAAGGCGACGGGCTCGAAGAGGCACCGAAGCACCGAAGTCCCCGGACCTGGCTCTGTAACCCCGATGCTGCTGCAGGAGGAAGTGGAGATGGCTTGGAGCCGGTCGACAACGTCTGATGCGGCAGGTGGATCTGTAGCAAAACTTCCACTGTATGTGCTGTTAAGTCATCATTAGGGTGTCTGCTGGTCTGTCCATACTGTATTGCAAACGCATTGCGAGCGTTGGCTCTCGTTGCGTCATGGCTGGTGCACTGCTTCGATCGTCTCGATATCCCTGCAAGAGGAGGTTTAGCAGTTTAGCCTGCATCTTCCGAAGTCTTTTCTCACCATCCAGGCCGCCTAGCGTGCACTCCGCCGCAGAGTCTGAGTGCGATGTCGCATGTGGAGGAGGTGCCTTGAATGGCCAGGCACGTCGAGAGTGCAGTGGCACATCAGTTTAGTTTCGAAGACGACAGGAAAAACCATGGAATCCAAGGTGCTGCAGATGGAAGAGGATGAAGATGCAGGGGAGCAAGAAGCAGAGGACAAAGAAGAGGAGGAAGATCCAAAAGAGAAGCCTCAGGGCGGTGATCAGCAGGAAAAAGGAATATTCAACTCTTCAAGCAGTTCATCAATCCCGGGGGCCGACGGCAATGCACTCGGAAGCCAAGCACCTCTGCAAGAGGGCAGTGGCAGCGCCTCCTCCGGGCTGGGCCGTGCTGACGAAGTTCCTGCACCTGTGAACCCATCGTCAAGGAAGGCCGGCCCTGTGTAGAACTCAAAACTCAAATGCGTAGCCGCGACAATGACATGTTGATTTCCTAGCAAAGTATGTATCGACGTAGTACCGGAATCACAGATGCAGCTGCTCAGCCATGTACGTAGCATTTGCTGTCGTGCTCCGAAGCTTCAGCGGCCGGGAGCAGATTCAGGGAGTTCGGCATTACCAGCTCGTGCAGGTGGACATCGTGCAAGATGTGCCGGAAATCGAAAGCTCGTGGCCAACGAAGGCAAAGGCAGATCTCCCAGCCCAGCGTAGCGGAACGAAGTGACAGCGATTTGGTCGTGGGTAGGGAGGAAGGGGGGAGGGGAGGGAAGGGTAGGGCAGGGAAGGGAGCTTGTGTCTGTGATGCCAGCATGAAGTCACACACAACACTAACTTACATGATGTAACATAGTTGCACCGAGCCGCCGTCCTCATCGGTAGCATCGGCACCACCAGCCTCTCTCCCTTACTCTCCCCGGGCTAGAACTCGTCAGGTGGCGCAGGAAACAGCTGAGACAGAAGGATTCTCCTCGACTTTGCAGCGGCCGGCACGAGGAGTTGTCTCACACTACTCGTACGATTTCCCCTAACGACCCGTAAACCGTATGACTATCATGAGGGAGAGACCGGCTACTTACTCTTCGGATAGCTTCCCACCAGGGCAAGCCTCGTCGAGCCAAGCGACGCTGCAAGTGGAGGAGGCCCAAAGCCAAACCAAATGGTGTACTACAGTAGGTTTTCTTGTATGTATATATATATATATATATATCTATATATATATATAATATTATACTATATATATATATATATATATATATATATATATATATAATCGTACAGCATGTTCTGACGCAAGGGCGAGACCCTTGCGGGATGCCACGGCAGAGAGAGAGAGAGAGAGAGTAGTTGTTTCTTTGAGGGTACGCTACTTCTGGGGGGTTCTGCTCACTGCCGCTGTGTACCTTGAACGCCTTGCACCCCTGGTAAGCTAGTTCTCCCTTTTCTAAATTGGGGGAGGGAGGGAACATGGTGCAACACGTGACGTACTGCACTACCGTACAGTCTTGCTCTTTTGGCCCGGGCCTGAGAGTGACAGCGAGCATGCAATGGCAGTTGTACGGGGGGTGAAGTTTTTCTACGGACCTTGTGATCCTTACAGGCATGTGGACTTGTTTTGGACAGAGTGCAACTGCCCACAGGGGGACCACACGAGTTACAGTAATCTCGCGCCTGTTCTGGCAGTGTGGGACTCCTGAGCTCGAAGTTCGGCCGCAGAGGTGACACTAAAAGGGGGGGAGCCATGCTGCTGTGTACTGTCTTACAGTACCATACTGGAAGTGCGGGGGAGCAGCATGGCGAACCTCGCTGTTGGTACAGCCGAGCCTTCAAAGGAAAAACCTTTGAAGTGGTGAGACCTCCCGCGACAAGCGGGTGTGCGCGCGCGCACGGGGTGATCGGCCTGGACGCTGCCGTGATCCCCAAGCCCGGAAGAGAGAGAGAGAGAGAGAGAGAGAGAGAGAGAGTAGCCATTGTCTTCACCGGTGCGCGCTTGCGCGCGAGGGGTGTGACCCCTTCTGCCCGAGTGCAAGCAAGAGAGTGGCCATTTTGGCTCAAGTTTGGCTCAAGTTCTTCGCCGGCTCGAGGTGGGGGCGGGCTCCCGTACTGTGCCTTCGGGGCCTGGCAGGGCAAGTTCGTGACGCTTTTCCCTTGAATGCGACCTCGGGGCTGCAAGAACTCCGCCGGCGATGTGCCTGAAGAGAGGGGGATAAGCCTTGTCTTTGCCCTCGTCACTGCCCAGTCGGCCACTCCGTTCCCTGAGTAGCCAATACCTGAAAAAACACTTAACAACACCTCAAGGATTCAAGGACCGTTAAAGTGGGAAGACCGGCGAGTTCGTGAAGTTCGCAATGGATGGACAGCCACCAAAAATCTGTCTCCTTTGCCGTTACAGTGGAGGAGGGTGTTAGCACACAGTGAACTGCGCCAATAGAGCCTCACCTGAAGCCTGGCAATGTCGCGAAACGCAGCGGGGTGCAAGCGTGCCGAGGAGCAGAGAACCTTGTGTGCCTCCTTGTCGGGGAACCTACCTAGTAAAAGTTCGGATGTTTGCTGTATGCTGCAGGCCATGAGAGAAATCTTGTGTGCGTCACTTTCGGGGGGAGCTCCTCTGTCCCAAAACGTTGCCCAATCCTCCAATGTATGCACGATCATAGTGTTTGCGAGCCATTGGGGGGGAGTGAACTTCTTAAACGGGCCACCCGTCATCATGCATAACTCACCCCCGTGACTGTGATCTGCCGATTGTAGTCCCCGGAATCCTGGTTCTACCGAGGCATATGTAACAATGTTACATCTGGCACTGGATTTCGGGAGTATGGTGAAGATGTTGGACTTCTTTAGACAGGTGTGTTCGAATGATTTCGAGACATCCTGTTTAGACGCGTTTCACTCAACAGACCTCGAACCACATGCCTCGCCTGGATTGCCCGAGTGTGAGCGCCGAAACGGGCCACATGCTTGGCTCTTTTCGGGTAAACCTCATTCAACTTGGGCCAACAGCTCCAAGCCTAGGTTCTTTTCCACTTCTCGTGGTTTTGGGGAATTCAAGGGGCAGGAGGCTTTAATTCGTCCAATTCCATCCAGGGAGTTCCAGTGTATCCTGCTCGAAGAAGCGGAGAGTGCAAGCTTTTCCTCCTGTGCGTTTGGCTGGCAGTCTAGGTCGGGGAGTCCCAGTCGTGAGTAGATTTCGATGTGGTCACTGTAGTCGAACGGGTGCAGAGGTGGACGATCCCAACTTGTTTTTTGTCCTGTAAAGCCAAGCCCTTCCTGGGAAGATCCCTGGGGCGGGAACAAAGGACGCTCCGCGAACTGCGGGTGTGCGCACGCGCACGCGGGGAGCGACCTGCTGTCGCGACCCTCACGCCCGGGAGAGAGAGAGAGAGAGAAACAAAAAAACATTTGCTACTATATCCTGATAAATACGATCTACACCAAACGCAGGACATCGGCATTTCACGAGTCATCGTGCAAGCGGATAGTCACACATGTGCCAAGAACACTGGCAATACGCAGACCGCGAAAGCGGCGCACACGTAGAGGTCGTCCCACTTCGCAGCGTAGTAATGGGTCCCATGTAGCTGGGAAGGTCCGGACCGGATCAGACGCTGCATCCGGGTCGTCAGCTTCTGGTACCTTGGCCCAGGTACGTTTGACTTTGGCTTGGGCAGTTCGGGGATGTTCGGGCATAGAATCTGCAGTTTTGATTGCAGGTTGTCTTCCGATCCGAGGCCCCAGAGTTCCAAGTGAACCCAAAGACGCAGCCGCCGCGTTGCCCACGGCTACCAGCGGCGTGGTTGAAACTCCGAGTCGTGAACGCCGCAGATGGGTTTTCGTTTGAGCAGGGGAGGTAGGACTCCAGGACAGGTGCTGCCCTTTATTATAGCGTGCTTCACTCACATCCACCCCAAGCGTTTGGGATGCTCCTAACCACACTTACTTCCACAAGGGAGAACTTTAAATTTTTGGTTCGTACATATTTGGTCACCAGGAATAGCTTGAACTTTGGGGTCTTGGTTACCTTGGTGATTGAAGAAGAGAATGGAGTACACGCCCAAAATCCCAATCTTGTTTTTTCTTGCCGGGCGTGGTGATTATCGATCGGTTACATTTCCCACACAGGCAGTGCGAAAGCCTCGCCACGGCTCATCGACCCCGAAACCGAGGCAAGTTTTGGTCATGAGGGGCAGTCGGGAGACTGCATGAAACTGCTGCACAGGCCGCAGCCAAAACTGCTGCAGCGGCTGCGGCTTCGAAGATGGCGCCAAAGCCGACGCTTTACTGAACTCGTGCGCATGGTCGCATGGCACCGGGAGAGCACGATGCTCAGAAGATTCAGCAGCTCCTTTGATACTTTCGCCCAGGGGCAGCATATCGGCCAATGCAGATTCTGCCATTGATGGAGTGTCCTGTGCTCAGCTCTGGTGACCGAGCCGAGGTACCAAGTTCGTGACACGATGCTTTCACCCACCCACCCACTTGCTGGGGTAGGTACGTACTTGAAGGAAAGTAGGTGGATTGGTGGGTGGAGGCTAAGGCAGGTAGGTTCCTAGGCGGGGAAGTAGGTAGGTCGGTAGGCAGGCAGGCTAGTAAATAGGCAAGTAAGTCGGTAGGCAGGTACTTAGATAGATTGATAATGATTGATAGATTGACAGATAGATGCACATTCACACGTGATACGCGTACGTACGCACAAGCAGCATGTGTGCAGCGCTCATGCAAAAATGGACGGAGAAAATTACATAGATTGATAGAGGTACATGCGCGAATCTGTGAACCCACGAGGGATTCCTTTGCTTCAGGTGGTGCACGACACACTTTCAATACCGCTGGCGCTGCCGACAGGATGGTGTCAGTGATGCCTGTGAGGCAGGCTGGACAGTGAAGTCGTTTTCATGATCACCGGCCATGATGGTGACATAGTGCAAAACAAAGCTTCTACTTTCAGGGACCACATCTTCATTTCTCGTCCTACGAAGTCCTACACTATACACCCTAGACCTACTGCTCTTCTTTACAGTGCACCTTCAATTTCGGCACAGGCAAGCGGTCTTGAAGCCTCACCTGGATTGTCCGAGAGTGAGAGGACAAGTTTAAGCACAAATTGCGCGTGCTAGACACTACTATTCTCATATTTCTACAGCAACACTAATATACTAACACTAATGTGCGAAACTGCTAGTACACAGACTATACTCACATACTGATAGTCTACAAATACTAGTTCATAATGTATGGATATATGAATATGTTAGTACATTAGTACATTCATATACGACTATACCACCACATGAATCGAATATGGTATATACACTTAAATTGAAATTCTTCATTCTAGTAGGTTCATGTACATACTAATATACTAATGTATTACTGTACTAAGACTGACAGACCAGGCAGGCCATGCTTCTGCAGCTCAGCCGCAGCCTGCCAGCTCCACAGGCCTCTCCTTCTGCAACTGTATAGTCGCTAAATTGGCGTGTGCCAATGTGCTCATGCTGTCTCGCTTGTTGTGTCGAGACTTTCCCATAAACCTCGTCTGACTTGTCGAGCACGAGTGACAAAAATCCTGAAAAACCCTCCAGGGTTTAGGGTTTTCAGTGTTTAGGGTTTATGGTTCTTTGTGCTGCAAAGGGTTTGTTGGGTTTAGGGTTCAGAGGTTAATGATGGCATTGCAATAAGGAGCTTAGGAATTCTGCAGTGCGCTTACAGAGTCTGGGCTCAATCAAGGAATTAAGGCATGTTTAGGCCGTATAGGGCTTTGAAAACCCAGTTCAGCCAGGCTCCGGCAAAGGAAAGGCAAAGGGCAAAGGGAAGAGCAGTGTCGGAGGCGCGCTGCCTTGCCTCTGGCTGCATCTGTCGTCCAACTTGATCAGCACAGTGCATCGAAACCCTGAATCAGCTCAGGGGGTGAGGAAGCGACGCTTGGAGATGATGAGCTGGAGGACTGTGTTGGAGTTAGCTGGGGATGGCATGCAGAAGACCTTGCGGCCTCTACCCCAAGCGCCAATTTCAGCGTCCCATTTACGAGGGTGCTGTATTGACCCCAAATTGGGCCTATTGTAGAGAACTATCCAGACGAGGAGCTGGAGTTTCAGCGTCTTGCCGCAGAGCTTGAAGACGAACATCGGGAGCTGAGGGCAGAGGCCACAAATGGTAACCAGGAGCAGTAGAAGTCCAGGGAATGTGCGCCACATGCTCTCTAAACCGCAAAGCAGTCTTCTTCCTCTCGTCATAGAATGTAGCAGGGATAGTTCAATCGCAGGTAACTGAGTCCGTGTGAGAGAGAGTTCAATCGCAGCTACCATGCCATCTCTATGGTTCCGGGCTCTTTGGAGTTTGAATCATCCCCGGGTTGCGGCTGAAATCTCTAAGAGCCCAGGAAGTGAGCTGAAATGTAGGCACATGACATGCTTGGAGCTGCTTGCGGACTCTTCGAACTCTTCGAACTCTTCGCTTATCTTGTATTCCAAGACAGCCCTGTTTTATTGGTTGAGGGTATGCCCTGGTACAAAGCCGGCCCTAGATCCTCCAGCTCAAACGATCCCGAGATTAGTGCCAGTATCGGCTCAAGGGGTTGCATTCGAGCCGAAGACTGTCAACTTAAGGCCATGGCCCAAGCTTGCGTGACCGTTTCCCTGGAGAAGTTCGCGAAGGACTCCGAAGTCTTTTCGACTGCATCCCCGGATAATTCCGTGGAGACCGTAACGACAGCTCTGGAGGAAGACTACGAGGTCAAAAAAGTGTTGGGCCAGGGCAAATTTGGACTGGTTCAAGAGGTCGTCAAAAAAGGCACCAAGCATAGATTTGCGGTGAAGGTCGTGGCATCCAGCAAGCAGAGCGAAGACGAAATACAGCTCCTGGCATCCCTGCGCCACGGCAACATCGTGTGTTTGCACGATTCGCTGGAGCACGATGAGATGCTGTACATTGTCATGGAGCTCTGCCGCGGGGGGACCCTGTTCAGCTGGATAGAAGACCGACACGAGGAGCACTTGAACATGCAGGTGTACACGGCTCCACCGAAGCGTGTTCTTGCAAGCTGCTTGTGGCAGATTCTCGATGCCCTGAAATACCTCCATGGGAAGGGGTTCGTACATCGTGATGTCAAGCTGGAGAACCTTCTCTTGCTGAATGCTGGCCTATCTCCACAGCTGAAGCTTGCAGACTTCGGTATGGCAACGGAGTTTCAGAAAGGAGAGCTGATGACCCAGCGATGCGGCTCCCCAGGCTACATGGCGCCTGAAGTCGTTCGAGGTGGCTACACCGAGCTCTGCGACCTCTGGAGTGTGGGGGTGGTGTTCTACCAGATGGCCACAGGCAAGCGGTTGTGGCCTCTCACCCAGACCCATGAGCAGCACTACAGCCAAGTTCTGGCAGAGGCAGACGCCCTCACGCTGAAGTCCAATGCTTACTGGAGTCGCCTCGGCCTTGGTGCTGTGGAAATGGCGCAAGAGCTGTTGAGCTGGGAGTTCAGCCGGCCGACGGCCGCGTGTGCCATCGAGAACGACTGGTTGCAAAAGCACATGACCGGTGCCGCTGACGGGTGCTGTTCGTTCAGCTAATGCAGAATTCTCAATGCTTAGCCTTGCTGGCCGCGCCTACCGTCATAAATACAAGTATGTAAGATTCACGCCAACTTTCTTGTTCTAGTAGCTTCTCATGATGCCAACGGTTTAGGCCGTTCGACCCCGACCTGCTCGGCCGATTTTCCGTCGTTTCTGAAATATCACGGGCCCGTGTCCTTGCCGCATCCTGCCGCAGAGGAGACACGATGCTTTGAAGCTGGATTCCCGAAGAGACCAAGATCTGTCTTGCAGCCCCATCTGTTTTCCGAAACCCTATGAACTATGAACCGTATACCATAAGCGTATACAGACTTTGTTTCTTGGCATTGTCCGGCTGTCCCATTTGATTCGTCTTGCCTGCTGAAACATACTTGCTTCACGTTGTCGAACGTGATCTCCGCAAGTGCAGTGTTCGGCATTGAGAGCACGACGCGGTACTGTAAGCCGTCAGGCGTTGACATCTTGTTAGCAATGGTTGTTGCAGATCGATTCCTTCGCATTCTTGCATAAGTCACACGGATCTGAGATGACTAGAGCCTGCTGGTGAATGGTGGACATGGCAGAGAGACAGTCTACCGTGCAACATACCACTGTTCAACTTTTGCGCGAAGGCTGGTTTGCATTGACAGGTTCGCTTTTGAACGGGCCGTTCCTGCTTTTGAAAGGACACCGTCAAAATTCAGCAATGACTGACCATCACACTCTTCCTCTTATCCAGGCACATTGTGCTTGACCTGACTTGCCTAGTCAGCCAAGCCTTCGACCACAAACCAGATTCTAACTCTGTGCGGATGGTCGAAGCCATCTCCACGGACATTGATACATTTAAAAAACTAAACTAAGCATAGACCACAGTGGGCAACTGATGCCTTGACACTTTTTTGTTGGCCCGGTGCGGCTGACGTTGTCATTGGACAGATCCAACTCCAAGTTCGCTTAGCCGATCCAGGCTCGGCTGGCCAAGGGGTACAACCATGGTACATAAGAACGTTGGGTTATATTTTGCTATCTTCCCTTATCTGGCATCATTTTCCATTCAGCGTTATCCTATCTCATCTTGTCTGATCTCATCGTGCCCTATGTTGTATTTCATGGTTTTGCTATATCCTGCTTTGTTTCGCTATGCCACATATATATATATACACACACATATATATATATATATATACATATATCTATCTATGTACTGCTGGCTGCAGAGGTTCCGTGATTGCGAGCCTCAAGACCGCACGTATGCGTGAGTATGTCTGTCCCTCTGTGCAGCGAGCGGAGTTCGCATTGCGAGGGACACACATGCAAAGTTGCGGCCGCATGCCGGCTGCAGAGGTTCCATGATTTGCGAAGGCATCATGCTATGCGAGCCTCGAGACCGCATGCATGCGTGAGTATGTCTGTCCCTCTGTACAGCGAGCGGAGTTCGCGAAGGCGAGGGACACACATGCAATTCAAATTTTTTCCGGCCGTATGCTGGCTGCATAGGTTCCATGATTTGCGAAGGCATCATGCTATGCGAGCCTCAAGACCGCAGATGGGATTTTGCCGCTCTGACAAAACATGCTTCTTAGGCTTTGGCATATGCTGGAAGTGTGTAGTTGATGTCACCGTCTCAACTTGCAAAGGACCTGTGGACGAGCCCTGTCTGGTGGGAGCATGAGAATCGAAACCCCCCTAAACCCTTGATTTCGAAACCTTAAACCTCGTCCGGCACCTAAGAACCTCGCCTGGCATGTCCGAGTTGTGAGAGCGTAAAACCTCGTCCGGCTGTGTCCGAGTTGCGCGAGCGTCAACCCGAGTTTCTGGGAGGCTCGCCGCGCAAAGCGAGGAGCTGATGTCGTCACGCCGGAGATGCAGGCCAGTCCTGGTTTCCAGAAGAGGTTCAGAGCTTAATTAGGGCCTAGGGTTTCGGGTTTGATTTAGGGTTGCCGGAGCGGTTGCTATGAGTTTGATTGCATCGCTCCCTTGCCGCGAGTACGCTGATTCTTCCCTCAGTGTTCGTCAACAATCCGCCCTTCTCTGCTGTCTGCATGTCTCCAACGATTCTGACAGCAGCCTTTGCGTAACCCTTCCTGAACCGAATACAACTACAGCAGCCCTTTCAGTCTTCGTTCTTTGAGCCTGGGTTCGAAAATATTATCGCAACATGTCTAGAACCACGAGGCCGATGTGGAGGCCTTGCTGGAAGCTCTTGGGATTCCGTACGTGCATGCACCGGCAGAGGCAGGGCTGCTGCGTAAGGGAAATTTCGGGAATCGATTTTACGATTCAACAAGGAATTGCTGTCTACCCCTTGTCTATTATACTTAGTTAGATACTTACATACATATGCGTGTGTGCTACTCCTTCATGTCTTGCAAATGTGCGGCGCCCTCCCCAACTGTAGTCAACGACCACCGTGCACGCTTGGCTTGGGTCCGGGGGATCATCGGGCGGTGGTTCTAAACTTCTAAACTGTAGTGGAACTGAGTGAACTTCAAAATTGTAGTGGAACTGAGTAAACTTCAAAACTGTAGTGGAACTGAGTAAACTTCTAAACTGTAGTGGAACTGAATAAACTTGTAAGCTGTAGTGGAACTGAGTCAACTTCTAAACCGTAGTGGAACTGAGTAAACTTCTAATCTGTGGTGGAATTGAGGGTCCTTGTTCCCACAGGATTTGCTAGAGCATGTTTCCCCTGCTTCTTCCCACGAGCGGCTAAGACTAAAGAGGTATTCAAGCAGTGCAGGAACCTGCTGAAACCACCCTGCTTCTCATTGAGTGGAACTGCCTGCAAGTTGACTCGAGGCTGAAGCACAGTGTGCTTTCCTGGCAGAGGCTGGGAATGTCTCGATCTTGATAGCCAGCATACCCTCAGGCAAGCAAGCAAGTGAGTACATACACGTGCATAAGGATAAGATGGCATGATCCATACGCGTATACGTATTTATGTATACGCCGGCAGACAGATACAGACATTCAGATATAGGTATGACAGATACAGACATGAAGATATTTACTTGCAAGTGCCTATGATTGATTTCTGCATCTAGGTATGCGTTTACACAGTTATGCAATATGCCCACGTAGTTTCTGGCATAGTGGCAGGTCACAGCGTTTTGCGGCACGGTAGCTCTGTCTGCGGCAGTGAGGCAAGGCTAGTGGATGCTGTGGCGTCTGATGACTCAGACGTGCTGGTCTTCGGAGCCCGTGGCTTGGCAGCAGGGACCCTTATTCTCCAAACCCGCGGAGAATGAAGCTACTGCACCCATATAAAACAAGAAGCTGACGTCACCATAGAAACATATAGAAACCACACGCAACAAAGGCGAAGTGTACAGGCGGCTTTTCTCCGAGGACGGCGTTGCAGAAGTATCCGTCGCTTGATGACAAAACTCGGATAGTACTATAGGGGCCTAGATAATTGCTATAACTATAATTACTATTTTGGGGGTTCCTTATTAAAAGTATAGTATTCTACTTCCTAAATTAGCTCTATAGGATCGAGCCTCGTTGTGACGATTTGGTTTTTTCGGCTCAAAGGCACATCCGGCAACAAACAAGACTGCAGAAAAGAAGCGTTTCCCCGGACTACCGCATGCATTCGGGAGCACGCGCATACTGTATCAGTCGTTCTTCATCTCTAGCCCGTGACCTCGAAAAACTGACAATGGCAAGCCTTGACACGGACCTGTCTACGAAACAGTGCCGCCAGCCCTGAGTTGTAATTATCGCATGCGCTGACACCAGATCTTCCACTTGTGGCGTCATGGCTTCACAATACGAGACGATTGTGCTCCTTATTCGCGATTGGGGAAGTGTGGTGTGCTTGCTGCTAGAGATGAGACACAGCTTCACTCAGGACCACGGCGTTTAGTTACCTGGTGCCGCTGCTGCTTCTTTGGGCAACATGGCAGCTGGTGCAAACCCTCTTTGGGTACCTGGGGTCAAGCTCCAGGACCAGCTAGTGCACTTGTCATGTCTGACTGTCTGACTGTTTCGCCGGCGAAGGGCCACTGACCTCGCGGCACGTCATGCATAATGTAGATGTGCGCATACGTTCCCGGAACGGCCCTCGCGGTTCGAATGATTCGTCCGTTTTCATCGGTCGCACTTTTGGGATGCGAAGACTGGTATATCTGGTACTGTTTTGGTGTTCTCTTCCTTTACGGGCACTGTCTGCTTTAGTTCAGTCCACTCAATCAGTCCCGATGCCTCAAAAGAGTTGCCTTCTGCTTTCCGTGGTCTCCCACTGCTCTAGCCAGAAATGCTTCGTCATGAGGAGTTTGCCCTAAACCCAGAGACCCCCCTGCACGCCGAAGCTCGTGGAGCGTACCAGGAGCCCGAAACAGGGCCAGGGCTGTGTTTCCAAAGCCAGCGGCGGAGGAGTCACTGCTTCCCGGCATATCATCAACATTGTCGTCGTGGTTGTCGAGCAGGTGTAGCTTACCATCCGCTTCCCAAGTCCTGAATCAAGTTGACTGGGTATCAATTGCTGGCTTATAGTCCAACTATGTAGCAATTGTACTAGAAGAAACCGGCAAGTGCTCCAAGGTGAAGCCTCTGCAGCCAGCGACCCGGGCCAATCGAAGTGCAGTTGCTGAGGACGGGTGAGCCTGACCGGCTGGCTCTTCGAACGGCTCTTGTGAGCATGAGTACTCTGGGTTTCCCCTAGTGGGGATACAACGCGACTAGAAGGCTTCAAGCAGTAGGATCCTTATGAGAATCGCGTAGCATTTAAAAAGGTCCACCTTGCTTTAAACTTTAATCCACCACCCGATTGTTCAGATCACGCGTTGACAGGCCTGGCCTAGCCTCTTCAGCTGCTGCACCGGCAACTTGGGCAGCCACGTAAGATGCCACGTTTTTCCGGGAGCCGCACCCGTAGACGCAAGAGGTGTACGTAGCCCTGTCAAGGTGGTCGGCCGGAGGATCGCGCGGACGAAAGCTCCGAAACCGAAGGAGGCAAGGACTGAAATCACAGGCTGGTGGAGATCAAGTCTCGTGGTTGAATGCCATTCTCA